TGCTTGGGCTCTCAGACTCCAAAATCGTGACTGAAATAAACATTTGAATGAGGTATGCAGTATAGTCATTCAGTATTAAAGTATCACTAGGAGCGAGTCTCTTCAGCAAGCTATATTAATGACAGTGCATTACCAGTCACAAGATATTTCTCAAGTCCACAGGATAAAGCTTTCCTGTGATGCTCACTGAGCAGAGGAATTCTAGAAGAGAAAACACATGAAAATCTGAGAACAGAAAACAGCAGAGGATAAAGCAATGTGTGCCCAAGCCCTTTGACATGAGTACAGTTCCATGAAGCCTTGTGGTAGAAGGATGATTAGAGAAACCCGTGAAATTCTCTAATATTCCCACATGTATGCCATGGCTTGTGCATGTGTGAACTCGCACAAACACAGGCACACAATTGAAATGCAAGAATAAACTCATGAAAATTGGAAATTATATTACGGAAAGCACGTGGGTTCAGAAAACCCAGGAGAGACACCATCTCCAGGTGTCCAGGAGTCTAGGTATGGGAGTAACCCAGCTTGGACAGTGTCGCTTGCTCCACCCAATGCCTTTCCTCAGTCAAGTACTGAGGCAAGAAAGAAGAAAATGGGCCCAAAGCCTGAGAGAAACCCCAAGATCCACATGTTGGTGAGCCACCTCTTCCTATGCTGTGCATAGGAACTTTAAAATGTGATGTTCTTTCTTGTATCCCTTCAGCTGACTAGACTGGATGAAAATGCATTCCATGTCCCTCACAAACAAGAGAGCTAGGAAAGACAAGAGATGTTGAGGTCCCTTGCTGTAAACCTATCATTCCTCATTCTTCAAACTATCTGGAGGCAGCTACACATTCTGTGGCCTATGGGGACAAGTCTGCCCACAGATGAGCATGTGGCTAACTCTTTCAGAGGACACCCTTCTGCTAGACACATCGCTGCTAGAAAAAGATGCCAATCAGGCCAGCAGCAGTGACATTTGGACAGTGAGGATATGAGCTCAGAAAGCCAACCATATTACTAGAGGTGCGTGGGTCTGGGAATTCACTGTCTGGCTAGAACGGTGCCTTTTATAGCAGCAGAATAGCCGCTTTGAAGGACTCAAATCAGCGTTTCTTTCTTGGTCCTTTCTCCTGGGATCTGTGTTTTTGGTCCATAATGCCCACATGGCCCTGAAAACTGATGAATGTCTTCAGGAAGGAGAGTCTTTTCCCTCCAACAATTTCATCTGTATTACATTAGCAATCATCCCAAAGCACAGAAACCCTATGAGGTCTGCAGCTTCTGGAGCATTCTGACGAGCCTCCCCTAACATCAACATTTTGACATGATGGAACCTCAGATTAGTCTCAGTAAACCAGCAGTGCACAGAAATGTGGAAGGCCACCACTGAGAAAGTAAGAAAATCTGTATCCCCGTGTGGAAACTCTTTCAATGACATCACCAACACCTATGGAGCCCCATCTGCCCAGTGGGTATTTGGGATGTGTCCTGTGCTGCAGGTACACAGCAGTATAGGGCCTACCATGAGAACTCACTAGAAATGGAGAGAGTTGCATGGAAAGATTAGTGTCTATAAGTGTCTCAGCCAGTATTTTGTACCTGTGAAAAGACACCAGAACCATGGGAACCCTTACCCAAAAAAAAAAAAAAAAACCCATTAATTTGGCAGCCTTACATGTTAGAGGTTAAGTCCATTATTGTCAGGAAGAGGTAATAAGTGAGCCATTAGGCCTGGCTTGAGCTTCTCAGACCTCAAAGCCTACCACCAAGTGAAATGCATCTTCCAAGAAGGCCACACCTCCAAAAATGCCACTCTCTGTGAGGCTTTGGGGGCACTCTCATTCAGACCACACAAGTAGTTACAGAACCCATCGATAAGTCTTACACATGGCTGTTTCCTCTCAACCAACAAGGTAGACATGGAGAATGGAGACAGGGCTGGGCGTGGTAGATCTCACCTTTAATGCCAGTATACAAGACATGGAGGCAGAGAAATCTCTGTGAAATTTCTTTCACTCTTGTCTACTTATGACTTCTGGGACAGCCATAACTACACTGTGTAGCTCAAAACAAAAACAAAACATAATAGAAACTGAAGGCAGAATGTCTGGGTTCCCCTACACAACCGACTAAATTTCATACCCTTTAAGCTTGTTCCGACTTCTCTTCTCTCAGAGCTTGATATTCACATTTGGTCCCATGTACACTGTGATGGTTCCCACATGAAGTGAGCTCCTGTAGGTTTGACTAGCTCAGACTTATGAATGGGGCAGGATTTGGCCCATGGTGCTGATCAGGCAGGATGAAATGCTACAGCTCAGGGGCATTCACCATGTTCTTGATCCATTCCTTGAGAGGCAGCTGCACGGTGCCTCTCCATCCCGGTCTTAACTTCCGTCAGAGTCAGTGAGCTATAGCAATGGTGGCCCATTTCTCTTTTCCTGTTTTATCTGGATTTGGGGACACACCTTCAGCAGGCATTGTAATTCTCAAGCTCCATGTTGGGATTCTGCTTGGAATCCATTGTTCAGGCTTTTGGAGTCAACTCTCAGGGCACATCTATTAGTGATTTTACATGGAATGCAGCTATGCACACTGAAGACAATATTTACATGCATATATGTGTTCATGTGTGTATGCACATATGTATTTATATATAGTAAAACTCACTTAGAATTACATTATCCAAGTAAATATGTGGTGTGTGAAATGTCACAATTCCCTCTGTTCTGTGCCCTACAAATAGATAGATGATAGATAGATGATAGATAGATAGATAGATAGATAGATAGATAGATAGATAGACAGATAAGACAGATGCTGTATGCAGTCTTGAGAATTTCATGGGTTCTAAGTGATGTTACATTTCACCGCTTCTGTGACTGTACCCAGAACATGCAACATTAACAGGATGGCTGACACAGAAATCATAGCATCTATCTAATGGTTAAATGGCCCCAAAAGTGTTCAAAGCCCCTTCTACTTGTTACCACCAGAAGGAGAGGGACTGCCCCATCTGCACACCCTCACTGAAATATCCAACAGTCCCTGTAGTTTGTGGCCAGAGCCTGTGTCCTTGTCCTCCTTGTCTTTGCATCTCACAAACAGGCTCAGAACCCTTCAGGAAGCTGCTAATGTTGAGAAGGCTCTGAAAAACTGAGCATGCTCCTCCACACTCTGGCTTTAGGGCTGTATCCTGTAGAATGAGGCTGCTCATGTGACAATCTCCCTCTGCCCTGGCTATTTCTCTCTCTCCAGGTAACCTAGGCAACCACACACTCCATCCTGTCAGAAAAATCTCTTTTTCCCATAGGTTATTGATTTCCTCTGGCACAGTGGTTTCAGGATGAGATTTAAAAACACCTCTGCCACCACCTCCTGTCCAGAGTCCTCACCGGGCCTTAAGCTGAATCATGACATTTGAGAACATGTCCCCCAACCTCTCTTGAGAGAAAATGAGAACGGTGGGGTGGGGGAAAATGTCTATTTTCACAAGGGCTGGGAGAGGGTGGCACGACACAGTCCTAGAGGTAAATCATCTTGCATTGATGAAAGGCATTCCAATCGCATCACCATGACAACTCCAATCAAGGCTTAATTAGAGTCTCTCTTGTAGCACCAGCGTTTAAAACATGCGTGAGGGTTTGACAGCAGAAGCACCACACACCTAAGATGCTGGAAAGTGCTCATGAAGATGCTGCCTGCTACCTTGTGAGTGTGAGAAACACATCCTGATCTGACCATCCAGAAAACTGCCTGCCAGAGAGGGTGAGGCAGGAAGGGGAGCACACTGTGGTTCGGGGTGCCATTACTCGGGAAAGGGCTAGTATTATGTGAGGTAGAATGCAATTAATTAAGAGTTTATGGCTCCGGGCTAGGGAGGCAAGGGGCTGGTAAAGTGTCGGGTGCAAGGGCAAGAACTTCTGAGGCTGGATCCCTGAGCACTCACTCAAAAGGTAGCCTGGCGGGGCACTCCCACAATCCCAGGGCTGATAGACAGAGAGAAGAGGATTCCTGGGGCTGGCTATTGGCCTGATCAAGACAAACTGGTAAGCTCTAGGATCCTACAATAAAACTGTCTCAGAATACAGGATGGAGAGCAATAGAGTAACACGCCCAGAGCCAATCTCGGACCTCCACCCACACAGGCATGAGGGCCCACAGTCGCACACACGCACAGGCACTCAGTCATCCAGTGCACACATATAATTGTATGAAGGAGATAAAGACGATGAGTCAGTAGTCATGGTCAAGTGAGGGCACCAGCAGGACTCAAATAACTGAGGGCAAAGTAAAGGGGGCTACCTGGTCCCCACAGAAGACCACCTCTAGGGGAAGCAGTGACCACTTAGATGACTCTGAGAGTCCTTGGCCAAGAACACAGTGTTGTTATCCATATAAGGCATGAACTTTTACAGGGTATGGGGCAGTGGGGCTGGCAGCTGAGCCTGGGCCCTCTTGTCAGAAGGTCCTGTATCCAGCATGCCAAGAAAGTCATGGCACATCCTGTAGTTGGTTGAAGTGAGTCACTGGAATCTCCAGGGAGGAGGATCTTAGAGCGAATGGTTCAATGACCCCCATCCTGCTCTGTCACTGACTTTGAAACTTTACCATTGTGTATTCTAAAGAGCAGCATGTGTTCATGCTGGATGTAGAGGGGAGAACAGGAAGACCTACAGGTAGGTGAGGAATCAGGGAGGGGAAAATGTGACCGGAATAAAACACACCTACTACAGGAGATGCAGTGTGGAAAAGGAAAAACATGACCATTGCTGTGCCAAGGGGAGAAATCATTGAAAAGAAAGCAGGCTAACTGAACGAAAATGACAATGTCACCTAGTCAGTAGGGGGGCTGAGAAGATATGTTACAAAACTCAAAATGTGCAGAAAAAATAAACAAGTTTCCCCCTGCGTTAGAGTGGAGACCACTACACAGTTTCTTCCCCTCTCAAAGTCTCAGACAAAACCACATGGTGACATCCCAGTCCACATTAACAACAGGAGGCAGGTGATCATAGAAAAGAACATGTTTACACATTTGGAACAGAGCATTTCAAGCTGTCCGGTACAAGCAGAACAGGATGCCACAGACTTGAGTAGAGCAAATCAGTTCAATGTCCGGCAAGTGAAAATACCTAGTACACCCTGACACATCCCTCTGATCAGACAGAGATACAGGTGCCCTGTCCAGGGACTGCAGGTCACAGGGCATGTGAGAAGGAAGGACAAACAGTAAAGCAAGTGACACATCTTACAGATTTTCCCTCTGTTCCCCAGTAGACAGCAGGCTCTGTCTCTCATGGCCAAATGCACAGGAACAAGATTTACCCTGCCAGGAAGCCTTTGCCCTCAAAACTGCCAGAGCACCCCATAATGGCTGATAGGGATGTGTTTTCAGGCCTCCAATAGCTTCCTCTACCATTCCAAAGGTACATACTGACTGCTGCAGAGTGGTTGCTAGGCAGCAGCCTGGAGCAATGAGCAACATTTTCATTTGAATAAGGCCACATCCACGCCACCCCACCTGTGTGGCATATAGGCAGCTGAAAGGCTGGTCCTCTGATCAATTCAACAAGGGGTACATTCAGCCTTCCCCATCATCATCAGAGGCTTTTAGCAGCTAAAAAGAACAGAGTGTACAGAACCCCAATAATAAGCTAATAACTAATAAACACATACAAACTTGCCACTGCTGGATCTTGACCAATAACAGCAAACTTGAGGGCAAAGTGGCCTCTCCAGCTTCCAGTCTATAACATGGGCATACCCAGGTCATGGATATTTATAGTGGCATTACTGGAAAAGTCATGAAGTCAGTCCCCACACACATTCACCAATGATCACCACATTCTGGTGATAACAATATTGATCAGCAATGTCTAGCACTATGACGATTCCACGCGGACCCTCCTGCAGTATAGTCCATACCCCCTCCTGAGTCTTTCCATGTCCACCCCAGCATGCATAGTCAAACTTGTCTCTTTGCTTTCTCTTCTACATGAAACTATGCCTTTCCTGACCTGCCTGGTGTCCTTCAATTATGTCTTAATCAGATGAAGAGACATGTGTGGGGTGGGGGTGTGATACACAGGTTTGCAATTCCAAATCAACATTGCTAGAAATGTAATTGAGTGAACACATTGGAAATTCTTCCAGAGATCCAGCATTTGGTATGGCTAAGAGGGAATCTTCTCTTCTTCTATGTAGGTTCACACTACTGGATGCTCTACCCAATATAATGCATTAGGTACTTGCTTTGAGCTTGCATTCCCTTACGTCAAATTTTGAACGCTGCAAGTCAATGAGTCTCTCCTATCCAGAGCATGGATCTCATCATACCTATCATACCTGTAATTCCTTTTGTGGGGGCACTCAATAAACTGACATTAAGAAGGCATACAGAAGATATGCATCTGTCTTATATATACATATGTACATATATATAGATATATAAACACACATGATGTTGGTTTTTTTAACAGGAAGGTGGGGGCATTCTATTCCCAGGAAAATGAGTGAAAACTCTTTGTGTATGAATCACAACATGGAGGTTCAGGGATCTCTGGTTCCCACTTTTCTTTTGTAACGGCTAACACACACCACCACACCCAAAAAGGCATGCTAAAAGACATAAGGAGGAAAGTTGAAGCCTTTCCTAGGACAAATTCGGTCATAGCACAAGTGTTTGGACTCATCCAAGGCAACTGATTGCCTAGACCTCAGAAGAGTCCCGGCCCCTGAGCTGGCCGTCCGCACTCTGTGCATCAGTTTTCATCTCCATCCTCTGGGAGCCAGCTCCTCAGCCTTCTTCCATCCTCTACTTGAGCATCCTCTGGAACATCCTCATGCTTTCCTGCTGCCTGTCCACTGGGAGCATCTGCTCTGGCTCCAGCTGCCCCCCAGTCCCCTCTGGCAAGGGGCTGGGTCTGCTGGCTCCCAGGCTGAGGGTGAGGCCATTGAGGCCCTGCACCAGCGTTTCCCAGGAGTGAGGGTTGGGGGCCGTGTTCCTCTCTCCACTCATCCCAGCAACATTTGGAACATGGTCCTGGCATGGGAGCTGATTCTGAGCATTTTCGCTTGAGGGAGAGCCTTTGACAGCCCTTTCAAGCAGGTAAGGTGCCATGTGATCCCGGTGCCAGCGTCTTGAGTGCCTCAGGAAGACTTTCTTCCTATGAGGAAAGCCCTGCTTTTCCCAGTATTGCTGCCACAGGGCCTTCTTCTCGCGGGCTTGCTGCTGGAGCAGCCCCTCTGACAGAGGAGCAGGGACAACAGAGCCAGGGCTACGGCGGAGGCTCAAGCCACTGAGGCCCAGACTTAGCTTTTCTGAGGAGGAAGGCTGAGAGCCTGCTGAGGCCTCTTGGGAGCTTGTCACAGTGGCCATGCGGGAGGGCATGGAAATCGACATTGGATCCCATTTCTGCAGCGGATCCATGGGTGTCTAGAGTCGGAGACCACAGTGAGCCCTGGGTCCAGGAGGAAAAGTGAAGGTGGAGGCTTGTGGAATAACTAGGCGATAGCCAGGAGGAATGTGTGCAGCCAGGAAAATCCAGACTGTAACAAGAGGCGAGAAGAGAAGAAAGAAAGCCCGTGATTATTCATCCCATTTTGTCTGTCCCTTATCTTCGACATGGGGCCACCTCCCAGGCTTCTTCTGGGGGTTATATGAGATGATACATGTTCAGAGAGCTAAGCACATCAACAGCAATCCTGGCATGGCAGCTGGTACTCTTTCTATCACCTGAGAGCTCATGTGGAAGGTATGGACAACCACATTGATTTCTGCCTCACTTCTGCCAAACTACAAGGTAACTCTACTGCAATGAATAGACAATGATAGCCATACTTCATAGAGGTGTTTAAAATTTAAAAGGTAAATTTTTTTCTCTACTTACAAGGATTTGAACCCTAAGACCTCACTCACACTATCTCTCATCTTCACCCCACTAATCACTGTCTTACCACGCTGTCCTAGAACCCACTCAGTTCCATAACATGCACTGAGATCATGACCAAATTGCCCTGCTTATGAAAGAATCTTGGCATGGGGATTTCATGGACTCTGGGGTAGCTCTTTCCTGCGCTCCAACATCTGACAATTAGACATTAGACAACTGCCTAAAAGTCAACCTGGCCCACCATTGACTTTCGACCTCAGGTGTCCTGATGTACCACTAGGGGTCTACTTCAGTTCAGTGATTTTAATGTGATCTTTCTGTTACCTTCTGTGTTCCTAGTCGCACACTTCAATGACCTCTGCTGACCATGGTCAACCTGGATTCTTGCACTCTGCAATTCCACAAATTTTGTCCTTTAATTTGTGCGTGCAAACTGCTTCCCATAAGCATATCTGATTGCTGCAAACTGTAGAGTTACACAAAAGAGTCTCCTCACCCAAGGAAAAGCAAGGACATGAAATAAAGGAAGTAAAGCAAAGGGGGTACTGGAAGAGTCTGGGCAAGTGTAGCATCAATGAAAGAGGGAAAGTTCTGGTGGGTCATTCCTAAGGGAGGACATGGGAGTCTCAACTCTGCCTGCAGGTAGAGTTGACCGTGCTGTGTGCCCTGTGATTGCATGTCCTGGACTCTTGAGATACGGAGAACAGTGGAGGCTCACATAGGCAGCCTTCAGGACGGCTCACTATGCTCCTATCCTCAGGCATGAGGAGACAACTCAGCAAAGACATTCTCCATACTTGTTAACCTGACTGGGAGGTGATCAAGTTAAGCTTGCTACTGGATAGGAATGAAGAAACTGCTTCCAAGAAGTGGATACTAAATTATGTCACTTGGCAGCACTGCCTGTCTACTGCCATTGAATCTTCCAGCCTTCTGAGGATGAGATTCCTGAAATTTAAAGGCGGAGAGAGGGGTGAAGGGAAGAGAGGGAGACGGGGATGAGAGACTGAGGGAGGGACCATATGTATGAAAGAGAACTAGTCCCCGATTCTTCATCAGTGTCATAAGGAAATATGCCACAGCTGTTTTCACCTCCTCTGGACTTGGTTTTTGCTCTTCCATGCAGTCATTGATGAAGGTCCCTGCACAGCTGCAATCATTGTTCTTTCCACTCCACGTTCCTCTGCTCATCCAAATACAGACAGCAGTCAACATCACCAGAAGCATGTTTAGCGTAATGATACCTCACGCCAGACCATTGTCAGCACAATGGTTTTCAGGAATATGTCTTCCCTCTCGATGACCAATACCCTCCTCTCAAGATATTCAGAATGCTATGCATACCTTTCTCATCCAACATATCTTTTCCTGGGTACTTCCTGGAGACAATGGTTTCATAGGAATCCAAGTTACACCTTGTAATAACCAATGCATGGATCCTTAGCTTTAACACAAGAAACTGGAGGAGGGAAGCCATTTCTGTGAGGGCTCCCAGGTGAAAAAGCTCATCTTGCCAGAGGCTGCAGATGTCTCCATTCCCTGCTGTGTGACCAGCTGCAGGTCATACTGGAGACCAAATTTCGGTTGAGGGTGCTCACATTTTGTCTTCTACTCAGTAACTGATACTCACAGGGACCTTACAAGTACTTTAGGGTCTGAGCTGTGAACTCATATGGATATTTATTTTTCAAGGACAGCAACATATTTGGAGGTATATGTGAAGATATATGGATCCTTTATTTCTGGTAGGGCAAATTATTTGGGAAAGGGCAGGTATTACAGTCAAAAATAACAGTTTGGTGTTGGTCTTGATGCATAGTCAAATGATCTGACTCAAGATCACATCGCACAGGAGCCAAACCTACCCAGGTCAGGATTCCAGAGAAGGTAACAACCTTTGCATCGCCACTCACAGGAGGACTAGGAATCCTCTGGGGTAATGTGGAGCGCAGGGGTTGTGTCTGGATAATATTCCAGTACAAGGACAGTGTGGTTGGGGAATTTAAAGTGGGGAGCAGGGTGTTACAAGATCAGTCTAAAGTTGTAGCCAGTCACACTGATCCATAAAGCAGACATTGTGGGACAAGGACAAGGGTTTGGGCCCTTAGCTTTATAGCAGTAGCTAGGTCGCTGTGGCTGCCGAGAGCTCGCCAGTTCCCTCACTAGATCCCTGCACTTGCACTGATACTTTGTACGAGTCATCACAATTGCATTCAAAGAAATATTTCTGTGGATATCCTCGATCCTACAGAGCATTCCAGACCTTGGAATGGGGGGATGATGCCCACAAAATATTCTGTTAAGAACTCGATGGCACCTCAGTACCCCCCTGGTGGGGTTAGAAGTGATGTGATGGCAAAGGCCCAGGTGGAAATCGGATGACAGTAGAGGTAGGTATAACAGAACCATGGGACAGCAGTGGAGCTGCAGCTTGGTGGACAAATTCAGAGTTGAGGATTGAAGAGAGGACTTGTGAGATCCTGGGGTTGAAGTTGGATGAATGAAACCAGAGCACCAGAGCTGTATCACTCTGGGACAGGAAGATCATTGTTGAAACTGGCAAGTTGGAGATGGTAGAGATCTGGTGGGAGGGGGTATTATCGATGTGGAAGAGAGAAGTTCTAGGCCAGCCAGGCATAGGCACATGTAGCCTCTTTGCATGGACATATCAGTCAGGGCCAAGGCATTGAATATCACTACTGAGAAGGGATCACAGAAACCTAGGCCTTGAATGCCTGCCTCAGTGAATGTCAGGTTTGAGGGTTTGGCTAAACCAAGAAGAAAAAGGCAAAAGGAAAATAAATACAACTGGTGGCATAGCCACACCATCGTTTTAGGAGAGCAACGTGGCAGCATTTTCTTATGTCATTCCTGTTGTGCCCTCAGTTCAGGAATCATGTCCTGATGCCAGAGTCACCCCAGCACTCTACCATCGAACAGTGGCTACCCTGTCCTGGGAGCTCAGTGCTGGCAGAGCAGCACTGAGTGAGATAAGAGGATTGTGGTGGCCCTGTGGTGTATGTGGGTATCCTTCACATGAAAGCAAAGGAGTGCAGGATAACTGCCCCGGCACCCAATGTACGTGCCTCATTCTTAAAGCATCCTATGTCCTCAGGTAACTAGTTTACTAAACTTGTATGTTCAGAACATAGATTCAAGCAATCATTTAACCCATTTTAGAAATTTATTCTCTTTATTTAAAATTTTTATTTCAGGTATCAATTGTGGTTTAGCTTAGCCAAAAACTCACCATGTAGAACAGAAGAGTCTCAAATTTATGGTCATCTTCCTGCTCTGCCACGCTTGGAATTAAAGGAATGGACACTAAGCCTATTAAACATGTGTAAATGTCTGTCTTTCACACACGTACACCTGTACTCACATGCGAGCCACATATATAGTGTTTGCCAGTTGGACTGCATCTGATTATGCTGCTAAGGCTGGCCTCCAGCTCCTCATCCTTCTGCCTCCCAAGTTCCTGGAAGAGAGACTTGCTGACCCCAATCCACTTATCTTTAAAACTTACCAAGGTGTCAGGGTTTTTAAGCTGAAAACTGAGAACATGGTTTTCGCAATGCTGGGAAATAAACCCACATTATACCCTAATGGGTTGGTTTTTCCCTAAATAATGTGTTTCTCAAAGGGGATGGGGGTATTCTGCCTGAAGAGGGAAATCCTGCCCAGAGTACACTTGACTTGAGCACTCTTCTTCAAACTCTGATAAAAGATTTCAAAGATTGATCTCCAGGATTTCCACACAATGCACTGACAGATTTTCCCCTTGGAGGATCTTGGTGCCAGTCAGCCCACTGAAAATGACCCGGTCCTAGCAAATGGATCGAGCATGTCTCTCTCCAGTTTGAGAATGCTCAGCACTTATCTCCTATCGCTGCCCACACCAATGGAATTGCACCACAGTCCATGTGCGAAAGCTGGCTGCTCTGGCAGTGTTCCAGCTTCAGACTGTGTGGGGAGAACTGCAGTATGAATTGAATTCAAGTTGGAGGTTAAATTGGACTAATGCCATTCTGCTTCGTCTTCCCTGTGATGAGGCCCTCAGGCCCAAAGAGGTTCTCATTGTGGACTTTCACTCTCTGTCTTTGACACATATACATGCATGGATTCTGAAAAAAAAAAGCCCTGTAATCAGTCTGCAGCATTAGGCAAGCACATCTTTTATACTTGGGCCAATCGCAGAGTGCTGCAGAGAATAGCCAGAGACTACCACGTGCCCACAACAGTTTCAAAGTAAAGACAGTCCTTTCATAACTGGATGTCACCAGGCAATGAAAGACTGATGTACATTTGCTGAAGTGCAAACAAGGCCACACAAAAAGCTCTGAAATCACAAGGATGTGTCTCAAGTCAATATCAATCATGAGAACTCTCAGAACATGAAGAAGACTCAAGACTGAAGATGAGCTGTAGGAAGCTCATGTCCCCAGTCCTGGGAAACAGGGATACTACTAGATCAAGCGTTGTTAAAGAGAGTGGCAATGAAGGTTATGGTTGCAACCATTCAGTCTTATTTGGTGGGTAACTTACCAGCATGTTGTCCCTGAGTGTGACATTACTGCCTTGCACCTTGTCACTAGCAAGAAAGAAGACCCAGTCTGATCTCATACTTACAGTGACTCCTGAGAGATGTCTATGTAGGAAATATCTTCTATTCCATTTATGGACTTTGGCTGAGTTTATATTTATTTGTCTATGTTTACTTTTATCTGTCAATACAGGGTATTGGATGTAGGGCCTGTTACATGATAGATATATGTTGCCACTCGGCTATATTTTCAGCCTTCTCCATTGATATTTTCTTTTGACTCAAAGTCTCAGGACCCTATACAGGCTGTTCTTGAACTCATTCTGTAGCTCTACCTTACAGCAGGTGATCCTCCTGCTTCAGACTCCCGCTAGCTGGGATTATAGGCCTCCACCCAAAAGGCTTTTGTATTCATTTCTATTTGAAGACAAGGACTTGAGCAAATTTCTTCTTCCAAGAGAAGAATGGAACAGTACAGTTTCTCCCAGAGGGCCATTAGTTATCTGCACTGGCTTTTTAGCTTCATTTAGCCTGTATGCTTCATGGTGTCTTGAAAATCGGCAACTAAGTTTTTTGTCTGCAATAGGAAGTCTCAGTGTATGAAAATGCACTGACCACAGACCAGGAGAGGGCAGCTCCTCAGGATTGTAACAGTAAGGAACTCTCACACAAGTCAAGAAGGCTTTCTGTACCTGGTCCACATCAAACCTCTTAAGAAAACTTGAAGAAAAGCCAAAAGAACAAATGAGGAAATAAAACCCGACTGAGACATCCATCTTGGGAAGAATTCTGACTGTTCCCTCTCTAGTCATGGTTAACTATTTATTCTTTTGAGCAATCAACCTGACCATAATCCCCAAGATTGGTCACAAGCAGAACAATATGAGAAAAAAAAATTAAAAAAAAATAAAAGTAAGTTCCGAAATTTCCCTCACTTAGTGGGAACTCAAGAGATCTCAGGACACATCCCTCACAGGATATGGGGAAAATGATGATGATGCAGAGAATGGCACAGGAGTTCACCAAATCCTTCAAAAGTTAGGGTTTGCTGGAGACCTCAAAGTGACCTTGCATCAGTCTGTCCTGTGCTGTGGTCAAGTAGACAGAAAAGGACTCTCCAGAGGGAATGATCTACTGGTTGTGTTGATCTGCAGCAAGGACCACGAGCAAGCAAGAAAGGACAACAGGACTGTGATATCACGCAGGTGACTTATGTGTCTCAAGTACAGAACCACAAAGGGAAACCAGGGTCTTCTGACAGTGGCCCAACCGAGGAACCTCATAATTATGGAGGCGATATGAAATATGGGGGGGGAATAAATAAGCAAATCCTCTGATCATTAGGAATTGTCCAGAGGTCATTCCATGGGTACAAACATGGCCACCAGACAGTTTATCCCTTGAATTCCTTCTGGTTTAACTTCAGAAAAATGTCTATCTGGTCTATGACCATGAATACCCAAGGTCATCATGGCTAGAGATTGATGAAGGAAGGTCATTGGTTAATTAATAAAAAAACTGCTTGACCCTGATAGGTTAGAACATAGGTGGGTGGAGTAAACAGAACAGAATGCTGGGAGGAAGAGAAAGTGAGGGAAGACGCCTCAGAAAGATGCCATGTTTCTGCTCTCCAGGGCAGATGCGATGAAGCAAGCCGCCAGGTCAGACATGCCGAATCTCTCCCAGTAAGACTAGTGCTACACAGATTATTAGAGATGGGTTGATCGGGATATGAGAATTAGCCAGTAAGGGTTAGAGCTAATGGGCCAGGCAGTGTTTAAAAGAATACAGTTTGTGTGTTGCTATTTTGGGGCATAAGCTAGCCAGGCGGCCAGGAGCCGGGTGGCAGTAAGGCAGCCTGCAGCTCCTGCTACAAGAGATGATGAAAGGATCCGTGCATGGAGCAGTAGTCACGAATGAAAATATATCAGGAAAATGTGGGTTTCAGGACAAAGCTCTTAATGTGGAGATGGAGAGAGTAAAGTCAGGGAAAGAGAGAGAGAGAGAGAGAGAGAGAGAGAGAGAGAGAGAGAGAGAGAGAGCAGAGAGAGAGGGGGAGAGAGAGAGAGAGAGAGAGAGAGAGAGAGAGAGAGAGCAGAGAGTGAGGAGGAGACAGAGAAGCAGAGAGGTGGAAGGGAGGAAGAGAGAGAAATATTGTTCCTTGGTCTCAGGTCCACTGAATATGGTCATCATGGCATCAGCAGGCTTAAATACTGTCGAGTGGCACAATGCAATGAGTGGACAGCACCAGAAGCTTCTAGAATCGACCAGCCTGTCCTAAAACATCCCGCTTGCATTACTGCAAAGGGAGGTTGTACTAAGTTGAAGAGACCTGGTTTTCAACGCTGGAGTTTTCTCTCCAGTTGTGTGTCTTATGCTGCACATGGACTCCTGTCGCATTCTTCAGGATCTGATTGCACAGGTGGATGACTTGGCAACAAGTTTCCTTCCCTGCCTGTGACTTCTAGCCTCAACCTACATCTGTTTCCAGTACCTCACTGGAGTTGGAGCCTATACTAGGTTGTTCCAAAGGTCAGTTAGGTCCTGACTCTCTGAACACATCCATGTACCCCTGGTGAAACACTCTTCCCTTTTGTAGGTACAAGACTTCAGTAGAAAAGGGTTGCTTCTCTATATTGCCAGTCTTAGAAAATACTTTACATTACTGGAAGGATGGTTGTGGAGGGTAGGCTTACACCATTTCAATAAATTCTTGGAAGCTGTTAGGACATAGGCTGGTGATAAACAGCTTGCAAAAGACAGTAAAGGGATGGCACAATGTATTTACCAGGACAAGAGATTCAGACTCTAGGAGGAGGCAGATTTGCAGGAGTTAGGGTCCAGCTAGAGGTACACAGTCATTCCAGTTAAGGCTAGGTCACATAGGGAGAGCCTGACTTTACAAAAAATACAAACAAATGTTTAAGAAAGGCCAGACATGATGGCACAAGCAATCCATCCTAGCAAACAAGAGGCAGAAGCAAGCTGACCGGCTTGTGTTCCAGGCCAGCCTGTTATACATAGGGTTCTGGCCCAGCTCTGGTCAAATGTGAAATGAGAGAGTTTTTCAAGAGGGTAGAGGACTACTTCCTGGAGTCTGTTCTCTTTCCATAACGGGACTGCAAGGGATGGTACCCAGATTGTCAGGTTAAGTGAAAAGCACCTTCCCCCAAGATATCTCGCCTGCATGACTGATAGTGGTTCAAACCCAGGTGGGCAGCCCTCCATAGATCTCACCCTGCACTGATCTGCTTAGGGGCTCCTGAATTGTGCTGCAGGCATGCAGTTTCAGACTGCAGATTCCTTCTCAGCTTTATTATTTGGCTGTTTGCCTCACTCTTAAAGAGAAATTGTTATCCGAGTGTCTGTTCACTGTCCCCTGCCCAGAACACTAACATCTTCTCCTGAGGACCTGCTTCCCCCACTTGGGAAACATTAGCCATAACATATGTCCTTTGTGTGGCATGTGGTTCCCTTCATAAAGACCTTCCTTAGCAAACAGACCAAAACTCTTCTCCATAAATGTGAAAACTGTGTAACCCTCATGACTACAGGGCAGATGGAATTGGTGCCTTCTGGTTCCTTGATCACTGACCCGATCATTGAGAAAGCTTGGGCATTAAGGAAGGGAGTCCCTGCACAGGCTGGTTGGCTGCTCAATGTGACTATTCACGGGGACAGGTCCATCACTAAGTGTCATTGTCTGCTTCTTGTAATGGCACCTCAAGTTCACTCATCATAAGCCACATTAATTGTGCTGATGGGTTTACCATTCCTGGGGTCTGCCACAGGCTGAGCAGGCACTGTTCCACTGGCCCACCCCACCCCAAACAACTGCACTGATTTTGATGGTGTGAGATGCCCTCATCCGTGTGAAAGACTTTTTATACAAGGAACAATCATCCCACCCAGCTTTTCAACAGCTCTTTAGTCAGATATTGTGTGCAGTAGCTTAGACTTTATCATCATTACACATCATGGATGGAACTGTAAGGAACAATACACAAGCTGTTCATATCTAGATTTTGCACTTAATCTCTGACAGAATTACAAGTGCTCTCCACAAAGTCTGACGGGAACACAAAGGGGCATTGGGGAAGAAGCCTTCTCACTCGGAATGTGGAGTGCATTTACCATACCCAGGCTTCACGTTCACAACTGCAGAGGCTGGCATTTGCACCATTATAGGTAGAAAATCTCCCTTCTGAGGAGCTGCCCTGCCATTCATTTCAGAATGAGAACAAGCCCCATTCTCCCTCTAATCAATGCTCATTACCGCTTTGGTGTTGGCTTATTTGTTGCTGTTGTTTGTTCTTTCATGTTTTAAGGGAAAGTACACATTCTTTTATGGGCCTTAGCTTCTCAGAAGGAGGGGTCACATTGTACAAGGACATTTAACCTGGAGACACTAAATGAGTGACTTGGAACCCAACCTGAATGGGACAAACAAGCCATTCAGTATCAGGAGAAATCCTCATGCTGCTATTTAAACATGAATTGGACACCAGACTTGACAGAAAACACATCAAACTGTCACGAATGACCCTATGAAATCTCAGTGGTGGAGCAAATCAGCAAAAGAGTACAAATGCCCATTGACTCTTACTGAAAATACAGACAAAAGCCAAGACTGCTTTGTGGGAATGTCATTGCTTTTTATAAACAATGGAAGAGGAGCACCCAGGTCATCACGTCGGTGATTGTCCTCTCTGCTGTAGGCTGTAGAAATGGGCCTCCTTCAAGATCTGGTTAATGTGGGAGTAAGGACCTTGGCCTTGGCACAGTGCATAGTCCTCATGTGAGAACTCGGGGATATTGGAGTATAGTTCAGCAATGTTCTGGTTTAAGCTGCTTTCTGGTACACTTCCTCGTACTGGGATATTGATGCTGCTGTGGTTTCTTTCATTAGCACTGCTTGACGACTGGAAGGAGAAAGACAGAAGGAGGATGGCTATTATGATACTGTCATCATTTCCTGTTCAGCTTGAAGAATACTGGCATCACGCTCTACACAAGGCTCCACAGTCTATGAAGTGCAAACACTTGGGTAGCTCCTTCCCTCCTGACAGCAGCGCTACCACACAAACCAGGGTTAATGGCACCCATTTAACAGAACAGGAAAGAGATGTTTTACAACCCAAAGGCAAGTCTTTGGGAATGTTGTGGAGAGGGTTCAAACACAGGTTTAATCCCTCTAAAACCCTTCATATATCCACTGACCCTATGGCAACATGCATTTGAATTACCTGAACCAGGGAAGAAGCTCCCAACAGCCAGGACAAAGAAGCAATCAATGCTGCAGAATGTGATAGGGATGAATGAGTAAAATGGAATGCAAGCCCAAGTCCCAGTGTGGCAAAGAAATGACGGGGAAAGCTCCACTTACACAGACATGCACATGTGCACATGTGTATACATACCAATAACAGGATCTTTCCGTACATATCCCCGAGAGTGGACATATGTGTATGTCCTATAACTTCAAGTAGGCTCCAAATGTATTTTGAAATTATTTTGATATTTGTTAGTGACAACTGTAGACCATCAGTCAGCATTTCTGATGATTAACACACTAGGTTTAGTACAGTTTGCATATGGTAAGTGTGATCTCAATATTGTCTTTCCTGATGTAGCTGCACTCTGTCATATTGGTGATATCATGTGGGATCCCACCCACAGAGCCATATTCTGGGGTTCTGTAGACTTGGGATACAACTCAGTGGTAGAGTGCTTTTCTCACATGCATGGGACCTTGGGGTTCATCTCCTTGGGTACAGGAACACACACTCATGAAGTTCTTGCCTCTAATCTTAAGACTATCAAAGGAAGGAGATGATCACAATGACCCTTATGAGATCAGAAATGTTGAACAATATTGGTATCCTATGTCTTATAAGGTCATCTTTCCCGATGATAGCTGTAATAATGACAGAAACCAATATGTGCCATAATTCTCTGGTCATGTGGAACTGTTCAGCCACTACATCACCTACAGGTATCCAATGAGTATTTATTCAATGAGATCCATGCACTCAAAGACTGCACATGAGAGACACAGAATTCAGAAGTCAGATGCATCTGTGTGTGAGGAACCATCAAATATCTTTGGATAAAATCAACCAGTACACACTCTGGTTTCTCTGAGGTAGATTTCCTTTGTTGGTTGTTTAATGTGGTTTCTTTTTTTTTTTTTTTTAATGACAGGCAGGGGAATCATCACAAATGGAAGCATTTTACTTTGCACTCTGTGTCAGGAAGATGATAGTATCATACAAAAACTGCATATATTACACTGAGGGGCCCTGGGGTTTGGTGACAACAGTGGAGAGCTTGCCTAGCACACAGAATGCACTGGGTTTGAGCCCAGATCAGCATTACATGTGCTGAGCAGTATTCCTATAGAGCGAGGTGGTCTTTGGAGAATTAGAATGCTGAGGTTATGATCGTCTTTAGTAACATGGGCAAGTTGTGGTTTACCTGAGTTACCTGAGACCCTGCCTGTGAGAACTCACAGAAAACCTCTTGGTTTCTAATTTCTAGCTGGCGTATAAATTTTTACTTCAGTTGTGTAGTGGCATCACTATTACAGTAATGCTCATTGTACAACTTATGCATCGGGGATATTAACAACCAGAAACCAGTAAAGAGTTTTTATAAGGGAAGTAACCGCCAGGGCACATGAACACACACCTGTAATACCAGGACTTCTGAGGCTGAAGAAGGAGGATCTAGAGAACAGTCTGGGCTACATATGAGCTCCAGGACAGCCCCAGGTATCTATCAAGAAGCTGCCAAAACAAAAACCCAGACAGATGGACAGGCAAACACACAAGAACAAAGAAAGAATGAAAAAAAGAATGAAGAAGAAAATTCAACTAATCTAAGTGATACATCATCTATTAATAGTCTTCAGACAATATCAGTTGTGCTTTTGCTAAAAAGAATGATATTCTTGATATCTTATTGGACATCTATATTTACCAAGTCCTTTGAAAACCTTAAAGTGTAGTTAATAAATGTGAACACTATGTATTGGCTGGAAAAATACTCATGTTGCCTTAGTTATTTTCGATTATTATGAAGAAACCATGACCAAGACAACTTACAAAAGAAAAACATACAGTTTCAGAGGTCATGCAGCACCCATAACCACCATGGGGGTGGGGTACATGGCAGCAGGAAGGCGAACATGGTGCTGGAACAAGTGCCTAGAGTTTACAAACAACCAGAAGGAAGGGAAGAGGAGAGGGAGGGAAGAAAGTAAGGAGGTAGGGAAAGAGAAGACAGACAGAGAAATAGGAAGGCCATGTCATGGGGCTTGAAAGCTCAAAGCCCACCCACATAGTGACATACCACCTAATCATTCCCAAGTGCATTTAGATCTGAAGATTGAGCATGTAAACATATGAGCTAATTCATGCCATTCTTATTCAAATCGCCACATACTCATACAGTTTCAGATGGGAAACGATGGTTTCTACTTTTGTGATATCTTCACTTTCCATCTAATCTACATCAAGTGATTCATAGGCAAAACAAAGATTCACTTTGTCAGTAACTGAATAACAGAAAGGATACTTATGAAAAATCAGGGGAAGAAGAGCTCACCATTTAAACTTTCCAAAGGTTCTAGACGCATGGGCACAGGCAATGTTATACTTTGTGGAAGACCTTAATAAAATCTGCATGTTTTCCTCAAAGTCAAAGAAGCAGATTGGTCAGCAGAGATCTGGTACAGTTCTGTTTGAGGACAGGGCAGAGAATTGCCTGTGCAGGTTTCTTATTTACCAGTTAGCTCAGAAGCCTACTCAACTGGCTACACTTGGGAGAGAATGCTGGGTAGTCACAGGCCTTTGCAATGCCCAATCTATCCAAACACATGCTTGTGGATTTACTACTGGAACAGGAATCTCATCTTGTCCTCAGAGGCCCCTGAGCTGGAACTGACGTGAAAGTCTCTTTCATGAGGTCTGTACTTCATGGGGACAAACTTCCAAAAGAGGGAAGCAGTCAGCAGTCCTACCCAGCCATGATGCCTGTGAACCACAACAACCAGCATGGTAAGATAGCCCTAAGGGTGCGGTACTGGCACATGCACTAGTGGTGACCTATGGGTTCTCAATCTTCAGTCCTGCTCAGGAGGAGGGAAATCATATCTGCTACAGGACACCTAGGGGTAGATATAGTAGAGGAATCTGCAGAAGCAGTAACTGCCCCTTTAAGAAGACAACATAATCCCTAGCTACACTGCAAATATCTCCCCTTATACCTAGACAGCAGTGCGGTCTTCATGCAGCATCATGGAAACGTCTTCTTCCAACAGAGACCATTGAAGAAAGCCACAACTAATGAAAATGCAGCGCCGTCGCGCTCAGTCCCAACAGACACAAGGAAGAGAGTGGAAGAGGGAAAGATTGCACGAACCAGAGGATCATGAACTTTCCTGTGAGCCAGTGTCTCCTGGGAATGTCAGAAGCTACACTCATGGTCTCACCAATGTGATGGCCTAAGAGTGAACTGAAGAACAACCACAACAGACATGCCAAAGTGGCCAGGGAATGCCCGGCACACCTCAGTACTACGAAAAAAAATGAAAACAAACCTATAGGCAACAAAGGGACACTGATAGTGGGAGAAAAAAGCCCACAATTTGATTATCCAATACCAAATGGCCACTCCATAGGATATGCAAAAGATAATATTATAGGAGTCTCTGTGTGTGTGTCTCTGTGTGTGTATGTGCACATGTGTGTTTTCAATAAAAGAAAATAAAGGTCCAAATTTGATATTGAGCAAAAAAGAGCAGTATATGAAAAGATTTCCAAGAATAAAGGGAAGGTTGAAAGGAGGCAACTATATTAGAATCTTAAAAATAAAATGACTGGAAGATGAAAGCCACCTGCTCTAGGCAGTGCAATGTGTGAGGAATCCTCACAGATGGAGTGTAAACACTGGAGAGAAACAGAGCTCAAGACTGGTGAGGATGATTTGAAGGACAGACAGATGCTGATAAGATGTGGGTTTGTAGTCCCTAGGGGAATTCTCCAGCCATGAAATGTGCAGGAACAGACATGGCAGGAATATGTGGAGACCTTGGGTGTCCCGCTAAGAACTCTATTGAGCTGCACAGACAGATGCTCACGTGGATGGATGGGAAAGGAGGACAAATTTATGACAGAGGACACCTACAAAGTTTTTTAAGTATCCAGAAACAGGCCACACAGGTCTTGGTGATATTGACAGAAACACAAAGCAATGTCCGGTGACACACAGAGAGTAAAGGGGAGACAGTCGCTGAGAACAGTGCACACACACAAACACACACAAAAACATGCTGACCACTGCAGACATCACCTGGCAATTTCTATATTCCCACGTTTGAGTTTAGCATGCTCCCCAGATTGAGTTCTAGTGTAAGCTAAGGCAAAGGAAGGGGCAGCTGCAGACAGAAAGGTGCAGTGAGCAGCTTTAGGAAAAGAACTGGCGAACAGGAGGAGGTGGGAATGCAGACGGCAGCTGGGAATCAAAGGTGAGGAGGAAGGAAGCACCTGGAAGATGTATGGCAAGTCTCCCGTGGGTGGAGAGAGAGCCTCCATTGGTAGTGACACAAATCCTGGGGAAATGGAAACAGAAGTGATAAGGAAGAAAGTTATCCTGAAGTATCACCCCAAGTACTGAATGGAAATTCAGGAATATGCATGATATAGAACTGGATAATGCTTCCTAGGGTAAAAAGCAACTGAATTCAGCAATTTTTGATCTTCAACTCTGGATTTTCATCCAATTCCGTTCCTATATACCTCAGAGATAC